AAAAAAGGAAAAAAAATCACTTGCTTTGAAAATGGTCCTCCTTTGTTGGGAAATCTGTCTATTCCATTTTCTCCTTCACAGTCTAAGGTGTGTTTCAAGGAACAATGGGAATGCTGCCTGCCTACCAAGCTTTCCCTATTGCCGCAGGCAGCGACATTTTCAATAGGAATGCATTACTAAATAGGTCCCACAGCAAGCAGAGCTGTCAGTGCCCAGGGAAAGGTAGGACAGTGGAGGAGCAGGGTCTGGAAATCTGGACTTCAGAAGAAAACACAGGGAAGAAAATACTAGTTAAGAGAAAGACAGGGTTCCATCTGTGTGTGCACAAGCCCTGGCCAGCGCCTGCTTGACCTGTTCCCATCTCACTCCGGTGGTGAAAGCTGTGGGCTGGGGCTGGGCAGATGCTGCCCTGGCTTCTTGGCTCTGGAAATCTCCATTGGAATGGCTTTAGGAAAATACCTTCCCCTAAAACATTTCCCTGTGTTTTGTTTTGTTTTAAATCACAGACTTCTCATTAACCTTGTGAAGCAAAAAGTGCAGATTACAGAGGAACAACTTGAGACCATCATTCCAGATTTCTCTGGATTTTTGGAGAAGTGCTGCCAACATCAGGAGCAGGAAGCCTGCTTTGCTGAGGAGGTCAGAGTGCTCACCCTCCCTGTCAGATGCTTGCGGAGATCTGTAGTGAGGGAGGAAAGCGACAGCCCACATGTCTGTGACTTTAAAAACAATCACAGAAAAATTTAAATTTTATTTAAAACTAGGTGGAAGGATTTTATGAGATTTAAAAAATAATCACATTTTCAAGGGCTGGTGAGACAGTTCAGCAGACTAAGTTCCTCAGCAGACTTAGGCAAGCATAGGCATGGTGTTCAATCCTGACGCCACATGCCATGCTGGCCCTGCCCTCAGTCATGCTGAGCTGGCCATAGAGTCAGCATGGTGGTGCATGCTTGTAATCCCAGCACTGGGGAGGCTAAAAACAGGAGGATCACTATGAGACCGAGTTGTGCAGTGAGACCCTGTCCCAAATACATTCTATAAAATCATATTTTCTTGCTAGATATTAAGAATGCTAATTTTAAAATATATTAAATTAGCAATTATTGAGTGCCTACCTGGCAAACACAAGATCTTGAGTTTGATCCCTAGCACCAAAAATATAATAAATTAGTGTTTTTATTTCCCAATAGGAAAAACTATTAAGTGAATATATAAATAATCAATTACAATTTAGAAGTTTTGGTCTAAAATCAATTTTTTTTTTTTTGTATTTTGGGGAAGGGTCTAGAGGTTGTTAAGGGTCTCACTACAAGGTCAGACTCATAGTGATCCACCTGTTTACAGCCTCCCAAATGCTGGGATTACAGGTGTGCGCCACCATGCCCAGTCTCAATTGCCATCTCAGTGTACCCTGGGGGCTGGGCTGGCATGGCAGGTCCGGGGATCAATCCCTGGCCCCTGTGCCTGCTTGCAGGCACTTTAATCTGCTGAGCTATTTGGCCAGCCCTCAATCAAATTTTTAAAAAGGAATAAAATAATTTAAAGATAAATTAATTATATAATTGGGATATGAAGAAAATATGTGTAGAAAGTGATTTTGAGAGCATTTAGGAGCATGCTTTCACTTGTTAATGGAGTAGTAATTAGGGCTGATAGTATTATTACTTAGTGATTCAAGATTGATTAATAATTGACTATATTTTCTTTCACCTTACTGACTTCTGCTATCCCAGTATTTTTGTATTGAATGTATGTCTTCACTTTCTTAATTTTTAACTTAGTTGATCTAACAAGTTTTGAAGTCACTCTGGGTCATAAAGAATTACATATAAGGCTGACATAAACACCCATCCCTTTATCTAATTATTATTTATTCTTAATTTTTTTAGGGCCCAAAACTGATTTCAAAAACTCGCACTGCTTTGGGAGTTTGAATTACTTCAGGTAACAAAAACTTTATGTAAATCTAAATATTATGCTGATTCTCTTCAAATGTCCCTGCATACTAAATTAATTGGCTAAGAAGTAACTTTCGTTTTCTTAAAAATACAATGAAATTCCAGTAAAACACACTGGAACAAAATTACACATATAATGTTATCAATGACTCAACAAATGCAAAATTTTTTTAGTTTACTTCAAGTCTTCAGAGAATACCACTGGAAGGCCTCACCAGTCATCTCCATTTTTCTGATATAAAATAATACACCCCATTACCTCCTGTATCTCTTCACTTAATTAATGTTTAGTATAACTTTTTGTCTATATTGCAGAAGGAAGAGGAGAGAGTCTTCGCAGTTTGGCGTGAACTCTTGTTTGATTCCCAATGACAATATTTTGAATTAATGAAATGATGAAGATTTTTAATTGAGATTTCCCTTATGATAGAAATAAAGTATCTCCAAAATGTTTCTTGTCTTCTATTTATGAAACGTTATAGAAAATTTCCCTAAATTTCACTTATTGTTATTTGAAGCAGATTCTGTTCAAGGAGCATTGAGTGCTGCTTGAGTACTTTCTGTGGTATTATCTCAGTGCTGAGTGGTGTTTTGGAGTGCTGCCTGAGTACTGCCTTTGGTAACAGAATAAAGCCATGTCAGATTGAGTTTACAACACTGAAGTTGATCTGTGCAGTGACCTGAGAACATGACCCCAAGTGAAGCACTGCTGAGCATTTCCAAGGGCACATTGTTCTTCAAGAGACATTTATGTATTCTAACAAATCTGGAAATAAGAGGAGAGATTCTGCCTTTATAGAATACAGGAAAATTTAACATTAATTTTTTCTTATTCCACACGAGTCTCCTGACATTCATGGTGTAGGAGGCCTGGTTCTGGGTGCCATCATTGTTCTCAGTTGCTCCAGTAGAGAAGAAAGCTAAATAGCAATGCCCTGAGATTGTGACCACAAGAGAGGGACAGCAAATACAGGAGGAATCAAAGGGCTGTAAGATCGTTCTGGTTGGGGAAAGTTCCAGTCACTGAAGGAGTCATGGAAGGGTGAGGCAGGAATCAATTAGAGTGAAGGAGAAGGCCATTCCAAGTGAGCAGAAACTATGGCCCAAAGGATAGGGGTTGTAAAGCAGAATGAATGTTTTTAGGTGAGCACAGAGTGGGAAGGAAAAAACATAGATCTGAAGCATCAGACAGCATACACAAAGATATAAGATACCGAAATGATGTCAGTAAATGGCAATAGTCCACCTGTCCCATAAGAGTAAGGAGTGAAGAGGTCAAAAGAACTAAGAGACAGAAGTGATCACAGATTCAAGAATAGCACAAAGAAACAACAAAACAGAGCAAGTAATTAAAAACAGTGAAAAAGTAAGAAAAAAAAACTATAACAGGAAAATAAAATGACAAAGATAAGCCAATATGTATGAGTTATAGCCATCAATGTAAAAGGCCTTAATTCACCAATCAAAAGAAACAGATGGGGAGAGTGGATTAAGGAACAAAATTCAACAATATGCTGCATAAAAGAAACACATTTAACTCAAAAGGAAATTCACAGTCTAGAAGTCAAAGGATGGAAAACAATTCTCTATGTCACAGGAAAACAGGAAAAAGAAAATAAAATAGGGGTAGCTAAGAAAAAGACATTTCACTGATTACTGACAATACTGGTTACTGACAATATCAACTTCAAACCAAAAATCATCCAAAGAGATAGAGAAGGTCACTACATACTTGTTAAAGGAAAAATGCAAGAGGGAAAGATAACAATAATAAATATATATGCACCCAATGAAGGAGCGTTATTATACATAAGACAAATTTTAACAGACATGAAAAATCAAATGGGCAATAATAGAACAATAATGAGGGACTTTAACATGCCACAAAGAGATAGGCAAAAAATAAGTAAAGATGTAATAGAACTAAAACAAACTTTCAAAGAAATTGACTTGGTAGACCTTTACAGAATATTTCACCCAGCAACAAGAGAATACACACTCTTCTCAGCTGTACCTGGGACATTCTCCAAAATGGACCATACAGTAGCACACAGAGCGTCCATAAGAAAATACAAAGGAGCCTTTTTACCAAGATGGTACCAAAGGCAAAGAAGAAAGCCCCTGTCCCTCCCAAAGCTGAAGCCAAAGCAAAATCTTTGAAGGCCAAGAAGGCCATGCTGAAAGGCATCCACAGCCACACAAAGAAGATGATATGAATATCACCCACCTTCCACCATCCTAAGACACTGTGCCTCCAGAGGCAGCCCAAATACCCTCAGAAGAACATTCCCAGGAGAAAAAAGCCTGACCACTATGCCATCATTAAGTTCCCCCGACCACAGAGTCAGCCATGAAATAGACTGAGGACAACCACACACTCGTGTTCATTGAGGACGTCAAAGCCAATTAGCACCAAATCAAACAAACTGTAGAGAAGCTCTATGACATTGATATTGCCAAGGTCAATACCTTAATCAGGCCTGATGGAGAGAAGAAGGTACATGTTCTACTGGCTCCCGATTATGATGCATTGGATGTTGCCAACAAAATTGGGATCATCTAAACTGAGTCCAGCTGGATAATTCTAAATTATACTTTTTTCCCAGTTAAAAAAAATGCAAAGCAAGTGAAATTATCCAATGCATACTATCTGGTCACAGTGTAATAAAACTGGAAATTATTGACAAAAGAAACTATAAAAACAATATAAACACATAGAAACAAAATAGCAACCTCTTAATCCACCAACGGGTCACAGATAAAATTAAAGAAGAAATTAAAAATATTTACAATCAAACAAAAATGCCAATATGACTTACTGAAACCTGTGGGATACAATGAAAGCTGTCTTAAAGGAAAAATTTATAGGAGCAAATTTGCACATTAGGAAAACAGAACAAGCCCAAATAAATGATGTTATGCTGCACTTCAAGATCCTAGAAAGAAGAGCAAGTCAAACCCAAAGCCCAAAGAAGACAGGAAATGATAAAAATTAGAGCAGAAATTAATGCAATGGAGAAGAAAAGAATATAAATAATTAATGAAGCAAAGAGTTGGTTCATTGAAAGAAAAAAATAAAATTGATAACCGCCTATCAAACTTAATTTAAAAAAAGAAAAACAAACCCATATTCATGCAATAAGAAATAAGAGGGGTGAAATCACTACAGATCTAGAGAAATTCAGAAGATCTGCAATACCTATGTCCAAAATCTTTACTCTTAAAGGATGGAAGAAAACACAGAGGAAATGGACAGTTTCCTATATGCATATGAAATGCCAGAGCTGAGTCATGAAAATACACAAAATCTGAGTAACCCAATAATGAGACACAAAATCGAAAATGTAATAAATAACTTACCAACAAAGAAAAGCCCAGGTCCTGTTGGTTACACAACAGAATTATTCAAGAAATTTAGGTAAGATTTAGTGCCAGATTTTCTCAAACTCTTCAGTGAAATTGAAAGGGAAGCAATTCTCTCAACTTCATTCCTGGAGATAAGTATTCCAAAACCAGAGAAAGATCCAACTGAAAAAGTACTACAGGCCAATCTCACTCATGAATATAGATGCAAAAAACCTCAGTAAAATACTAGGAAATAGAATGCAGCAAATCATCAAGAAGATTATGCATCATCACCAAGGGGGATTCATTCCAGGAATGCAAGGATGGTTTGACATAAACAAATCCATAAATGTAATACACCATATCAATAGAACCCAAAACAAAAACCACATAATCACTTCAATGCATGAAGAAAAAGCTTTTGACAAAGTCCAACATTTTTTCATGCTTCAAAAGTTCTCCTTACTAATTTCTTTTTTTAGTCTTTTATTTATTTATTTTTAATTATTATTTTTAATTTTATTGAGAAACAAATATCAATGAGATAATTTCCAAGCTGATTAATAGGACATTTTCAATAATTAATACTAGCACATTGTTATTTTCTCAATGGTCATCCACAGCACAAGAAGCAGCCAGGACATCTCATCCAAACACTACTACTATAAATCCTTCTTCTCATTGAACCAAGTGAAAGCAGCCTTACATCTATCCTAACTATTCTGTATATACAAATACAAAATAGTCCTTCCTCTATATCCCCCCTCTCCAGTTCAGTCCTGTCAGAGATGGGTATTCTATTGGCATCTAAATATTATAGGTGCTTGAATTCAGCAAAATAACCCAACACAGTTCAGTAGTCCACAATAGTAGTAGGTTATCTGCAGAAGTTGTTGACTAGAGTCTTTTACAGCTCAGCATATTAATATGGCTTTACTTTGTATACCTCATTGTTATACTTTTCTGCTGGATGGTTAAGAACAAGATAAAGAAAAACCTATATAACAAGAAATGTAACTTTTGTATCTGATAAGGTCAGTCAAGTCCCCTCAGGATTTATCCTGTAACCCTGTACTGCATTTTGTAGATCCTTTGTCAGTGTCAACCATGTGGATGAGTCATGGCCAACACTTAATCATGATAAAAAAAATCCTACAGAGAATTGGAATAGATGGTTTATATCGCAATCTGATAAAACACATCTATGAGAAATCAACAGCCAGCATCATACTAATTGGGAAAAACTGAAGGCCTTCACTTTAAAATCAGGACTAATATAAGAATGTCCACTTTCTTCACTTCTATTCAACATAGTTCTGGAAACATTAGCACAGCAATTAGATAAAAAAGAGAAATCAAGGTAAGAAGGATTTGAAAAAATTATCATTATTTGCAGATGACATGATACTCTTTATAGAGGATCCAAAAACTCCACCAAGAGTTTTATAGATTTAATCACTAAATTCAGCAATGTAGCAGGATACAAAGTCAACATCCAAAAATCAGTAGCATTTTTATGCACAAAAAACGAACACTCTGATTGAGAAATTAGGACATCACACCTTTCACAATAACATTCAAAAAAATGAAGTGCTTAGGAATCAATCTCACAAAGGACATCAAGATTTATTCAGTAAAAATTATAGTAGTCTGAGAAATTGGAAAAATATTTCATACTCCTGAATAGGAAAAATCAACATTGTGAAAATGGCCATACTCCCAAAACTGTTACACAGATTCAGTGAAATTTTGATTAAAATACCATTAGTATGCCTCACAAAACTAGAGAAAATTTTCCTCAAATTTATTTGGAACCAGGAGAGACCCAGAATATAAAAAGCAATCCTGGGAATCAACAAAAAGGTGGGATGTATCACAATCACTGACCAAAAATTATACTATGATAAAACTACTGTGATAAAATTAGCATGATACTGGTATAGAAACAGACCTGAGGCTCAATGGAACAGATTAGAAGATGAAGACATAACCAAAAACACACTCAGTCACCTTATCTTTGATAAAGGAGCCAAACATACTCACTGGAAGAAAGATAGCCTTTTTAATAAATAGTGCTGAAAATAATGGCTTTCCACATGCCAAAAGCT